GAGGATACCAACCAGGGAAGTTGGTGTGGCTATATAACCCGCAGAGACGTCGTGGGTTATCTCCGAAGCTACAATCCTCGTGGGAAGGGCCATACGAAGTCATGGATAGAATTAATGACGTCGTATACCGTATCAGAAAATTGCCAAAAGGAAAACCGAGGGTAGTCCATTTCAACCGTTTGAGCCCCTACCAAGGCGAAATAGAAGATCGTGCTGGGACCGTGAGAACCTGCAGCTTTGATCCCCCTGATTCGGAGATGTCCTTTGACGATTTCATGGCCCGATACAACAGCAGTGAGAAGGCTCGCTATGGTGTAACCAAAGAAGATCAACGAGACCTCTTTTCCGTGCCTCCTGATTATTCGCTCGCTCATTGTGTGGCTCGAGATTTGCGGATGTCCAGAGGAATCGCTGCGACGTTCAATGAGAAGTTTGGGCGTGTCGGAGAACTACGCCGACAGGATCCAGAGGTTGGAAGCGTCTTGAGGCTAACCGACAATGCACATGGTCAAGCAAGGCACATCTTCTACCTGGTCACCAAGGAATGGTCCCCGAGTAAGCCGACTTATCTCAATCTATGGAAGACCCTGATTGAACTGAGAGAAGCCCTGCTAAACAACAACATTGCACGATTAGCCATTCCGAAGCTGGCGTGTGGACTCGATGGTTTGAGTTGGCGTACAATCCGGAACATGATCGAAGTCCTGTTCAGATTTACGGGAATCGAGATCCTCGTTTGCTGCTACAACCCAAAGCTGAGATCGGGAGAGAAAACTGTAGACTGCTATTTCTACCAGACTTCGCAATGTACCAGGGGCCAGCTTTGCAAATACCTTCATTCACGGTGTACATCTCGGGACGAGCATGTACCTAAGAAGGGGGCAGTGTTGCGGACCCGTGTGGACTCGACCTAACCTAACTATATGTCCCGCCCTCAGATGACCTTAACATCGCATTAAAGAATAGACACCGTAATGATTCATTCGTTCGAGAAGAATCGAGTCCCACTGGAATGGACTAGTACATACGAGAACATTCGAAAACCTTCTCTATGCACCTAACGATCTATGGACTATTCTAGAGTTCTTTACCTGTCGGTATAAAAGCCGGCGGCTGTGGCCTACAGGGGGCAGTTATAAATATACCAGTGCAGTTGACGCGCTAAAAATTCAAAATAAATTCTTAGTTATAAATCGTTTGTAAATAGTTCTATAAGTCTTTTATCGTTATTGTTTTTGTTAATTAGTGTTAAATAAATAGTGTTTAAATAAATTGTGACTTTCCATCCACACGGAACCGACGAAAAACGTAACAATTGGTGTCAGGTGTGGGGTGTGTGATAGACTAGAAAAATAAAAAGACTAACAATGGCTCCGAAGAAATTGTTGAAAGACTTGAAAGTGTCCGATTTAAATGCATACTGGAAGAGAGGGAATGCGAGACAGATGGAAAGAAAAGCATTCTGCAAGCCAGACTGAGAGACGTTTTGATTGAAGAAGGTGAGGACACCTTTTGCTTTGAGCTGGAAGGTGACCTTGACTCGTCCTTACAAAAATTAGAAGACAATTTGAATAATAAAATCAGTGATAAAATTATGGAAAATTCCCAGGATTTGCAAGAAACTTTAAATGATAAAATGAATATTTTAGAAGATAAGATCGCAGAAAATTCTAAAGACATATAGGCCAGCTTCAATAATAAAATATTGAATTTAGAACAAAGTTTATACAACAAGATAACAGAAAACTCCAGGGACTTAGAAGAAAAGATAATAGATACACAAGACAAAATAGCACAGATTGAGGACGATGTTAACAGGAAAATCGAAATTTTAAAAGAAGAAATAGCGAAGTCGAATTCACCAAAATGTCAAGAAACATCGGAGGGACCGAAACTAGTAGAAAATAGGTGTGCCTCAAAATCAGTTATGAAACCTCTGCAGTTTGACGGAAAAACCGCTTGGGCCAATTATTTTTGCCAATTTCAAGCCGCTGCGAGAGCGAACGGCTGGACAATCGCTGAAAAAGCTACTGCTTTGACTATCGCACTGCGAGGAGATGCGACTGATATCCTGCAGACACTGTCATCATCGGAACAGGGAGATTATCAGCAGTTGGTACGACATTTAGAAATGAGGTACGGCCAAGCTCATTTGGAACATGTCTATCATTCCCAGCTAAAAAATCGCATTCAAAAGTCAAATGAGTCTCTGCAGGAGTTTGAAGCCGACGTAGCCCGCCTCGTTCGCCTTGCGTACCCTGCTACGCCAGAGAATGTTATGGAGCGGTTGGCAGTACAGGCATTCTCCGACGGCTTACGTGACAACGAGACAAGACAAGCACTTCTCCTAGCCCACCCAACGCACTTGGTGGATGCTTTAGCACGTGCCCTAGAATTTGAGGCCGCGAAACAAAGTTCTCGGTCTTTAGGAAGAGTACGGGCCATCGACGAATGTTCCGATGAATCCGTGGAAGGGATTGTTCGGAAGGTAATGGACCAGTACATGGGCAAGAAGGGACCGATTCGTTGCTGGAACTGCGGACAGGCGGGGCACGTGCGAAGCCGTTGTAAGGAGAAGAACGAAGAACCGGCTTCATCGAGGTCGGAAAACTACTATGGGTCGAAATGAAGGGGCACACGTCGACCTGTACCCAACATGCCCCAACGAAAACTGTTCAAGTGCGCCTACCCTGTGATCTGAAATTTGGTTGCCGACCGGGAGAAGAAGTCGCCGGAGAAGATTATGTCCACACACTACGTCAAAGGATGGACGACATTCATCAGAGAGTCCGCCTAAATATTCAAAGTGCTAGTGACCGAATGAAGGAACACTACGACATTCAAGCTGAGCATGGAGGATACCAACCAGGGAAGTTGGTGTGGCTATATAACCCGCAGAGACGTCGTGGGTTATCTCCGAAGCTACAATCCTCGTGGGAAGGGCCATACGAAGTCATGGATAGAATTAATGACGTCGTATACCGTATCAGAAAATTGCCAAAAGGAAAACCGAGGGTAGTCCATTTCAACCGTTTGAGCCCCTACCAAGGCGAAATAGAAGATCGTGCTGGGACCGTGAGAACCTGCAGCTTTGATCCCCCTGATTCGGAGATGTCCTTTGACGATTTCATGGCCCGATACAACAGCAGTGAGAAGGCTCGCTATGGTGTAACCAAAGAAGATCAACGAGACCTCTTTTCCGTGCCTCCTGATTATTCGCTCGCTCATTGTGTGGCTCGAGATTTGCGGATGTCCAGAGGAATCGCTGCGACGTTCAATGAGAAGTTTGGGCGTGTCGGAGAACTACGCCGACAGGATCCAGAGGTTGGAAGCGTCTTGAGGCTAACCGACAATGCACATGGTCAAGCAAGGCACATCTTCTACCTGGTCACCAAGGAATGGTCCCCGAGTAAGCCGACTTATCTCAATCTATGGAAGACCCTGATTGAACTGAGAGAAGCCCTGCTAAACAACAACATTGCACGATTAGCCATTCCGAAGCTGGCGTGTGGACTCGATGGTTTGAGTTGGCGTACAATCCGGAACATGATCGAAGTCCTGTTCAGATTTACGGGAATCGAGATCCTCGTTTGCTGCTACAACCCAAAGCTGAGATCGGGAGAGAAAACTGTAGACTGCTATTTCTACCAGACTTCGCAATGTACCAGGGGCCAGCTTTGCAAATACCTTCATTCACGGTGTACATCTCGGGACGAGCATGTACCTAAGAAGGGGGCAGTGTTGCGGACCCGTGTGGACTCGACCTAACCTAACTATATGTCCCGCCCTCAGATGACCTTAACATCGCATTAAAGAATAGACACCGTAATGATTCATTCGTTCGAGAAGAATCGAGTCCCACTGGAATGGACTAGTACATACGAGAACATTCGAAAACCTTCTCTACGCACCTAACGATCTATGGACTATTCTAGAGTTCTTTACCTGTCGGTATAAAAGCCGGCGGCTGTGGCCTACAGGGGGCAGTTATAAATATACCAGTGCAGTTGACGCGCTAAAAATTCAAAATAAATTCTTAGTTATAAATCGTTTGTAAATAGTTCTATAAGTCTTTTATCGTTATTGTTTTTGTTAATTAGTGTTAAATAAATAGTGTTTAAATAAATTGTGACTTTCCATCCACACGGAACCGACGAAAAACGTAACAGTACTATTAATGCTTTTGCGGAGGAACTAAGTAATGCCTAGCTATAGCCTGGTTACAAAAGCAGTTGTGGCTCCATTGGAGAGGCCGTCGTTTCGTGATCGACAGTGGTTAATCTCTAGGGTTATTTTTTTGTTTAGATTGCATTGCACCTGCTCCATGTATTTTTGCTTTATTCATACGCAGTGCTTATTTGGGGTGGTTTTTGGGGGTGAAGCTTACACTTTACAGTTAGGAACTCTTTTGATTTTAAAAAGTCTCCTTTTAGTACGTATAACCTCAACATATCAAAACTTTATAATTTTTTTTCTTCTAAATATGCTAATATCAACGTACTATTAATGCTTTTGCGGAGGAACTAAGTAATGCCTAGCTATAGCCTGGTCACAAGCGTGGTTACAAAAGCAGCTGTGGCTCCATTGGAGAGGCGGTCGTTTCGTGATCGACAGTGGTTAATCCCTAGGGTTATTTTTTTTTTGTTTAGATTGCATTGCACTTGCTCCATGAATTTTTGCTTTATTCATTTATTTGTTATCTCAAAAGCTGTTAGAAACAGGTATAGGTTAGTATAACAGAAAACATATGAGATATGAAAGTAGTTTCGGAAAATGTAATAATATCAAACAAAGATGCTACCACTTTTAGTATAAAGCGGCAACAATTTAGCGTTGAAAATAATTTTAGACAGATAGAGCAGGTGCCTTTATGCAAAAATACAAATTTTTAAAAAAATCAGCGGTTTTCCATAAAAGTCCTTGTCTAACGTCCCATGGTCATGTTGATTTCCTTAGAAATATTTGAGTCTTTGTAATTTACGTATCTTATTTCATTTCAGATGTGTGCAAATGCATAGCTACACTTATGCACTAGTAAAGGATACGCCAGACAACAGAAACAAAAAGTTTCCTACATTTCCTGATGGAGGTTTTGGAAATAGTACTTACACATTAGATTACATTAGTGTTCGAAGTGGTTGTAGTTGTGTAGTAATGCCAAACATTTCTAGGAAAAAAAAGAAGCATAGAAAAAAAGGAGAGCAGTAGACTTACTTAATATATAATGTGGAATAAAAGATACTATTTTTTTATTTACGAGATATGCAGGGGTTAAGCGGGTGGACATTAATTTATTTTTTCTTAATGTAAAGCAGCGTCCAAGCTAGCCGTTCGGCGCCGAACAGAACGTTCGCGAACATATATGTATTAACACAGATATTAAGTCAAAATTGTGAAATAGGTAGATTTATAAATCCAACAAGTCCCGCTAGCCGCTCCATCTGAACGGCGTGCACTTTGGAAGGGTCTCGTTTACTTTCAGGCGCCCATCAGCGATTTTTATATTTTAACCAGTATTCAACAATGGGAGATGGAGACGTTGGTTAAAATAGGATCGTGAAAAAGTTTTACAATTAATTTGTTTATACAAAGAAAACATTTTATAATTTTAATTTTATTGTGAGTTGAGTTTGAGTGACTATGCAGCTAGATTTCGCCCATATAACTCATTTTTATTAATAAAGACCATTATTATTATTTTTATTAAAAAACGGAATTATGGGATTCTGAAATTAAAATGAAATAAAAAATGAAATTTCACAAAATTTAGAAATACATATACCGGGTGGTTCTCAAAAGTGGCTCACCTCTATAATTTTTTTAACTTTTCAGATCAAGAAACGAGATTTGATATGTTAGTATAGGACATAAATTAGGATTGATTGGCATTTTCAATTATTTTCGGTCACTACCGGTTTCACCGGAAATGACAATAACTTTTGATTTTTAAATGGTACCCTCGGTATTTTTACCTTATTATGACAGAAATGTAGTGTTCAAGTCTATGCAAGTTGTTATAGATTGCAATGTTGTGATGAAATATACACGAGCAAAAAGGAATTTTACAGAAAGAATAAATAGAAACGATATCGTTTTAATATATGTATACTATGTCCACCAGTGCTTTGTTCGGCGCGGAGCGCATAGCTTAGGCGCGGCTTAATACCAAAGGCAATTATTAAAATTTAGCAATAGGGTAGGCAACATTTTGTACATTGTTTATATTATTGTATATTATAATAGCATATCATTATAAATATGTATAAATGTAATTCTAATGTTTTATTGTATTCCCTTCTTGTAAATATAATATTATTAAGAATTGAAAATAAAAAATACACTATCTTAGTTATTTAAATTCAACTGATTATATTATCTAAGGATATTGTCTATTCCTAGATATTGTCTATTCCTAGGTCTATACATTAAAAGCATAATACAAAATATAGTGTTAAGTTTTTATTTTGTTTTCCTTAATTTCAATCGGCCGCTCAAATATTATCTGTAAGTAAAATTTAGTTAACGTCTCCTTTTTGCTGCTAGGAATCTGGACTGGACCCACTTTGTTTACGCGGAATCCGAACCGCGGTCCACGGTCATATCATGGCCAATGGCCTACCGACTTGACGAGTGTCTAAATCGACTCTTAAGAGATATCTTATGTCATCCAGCCTCGAACCGGTGTGAATGAGCAGTGTGTGTCAATAAATTTTTACACTCTTGCCATGCCACAACAGCACGACAGAGTTTTCAGACAGTTACCCGTCCTTCAAAATTCTCTTGCAGCTTTAGAAAATATTAAATCTATACTAATATATAAAATCTTTAAGTGACTGACATACTGATTAATCACGTTCCTGCTCAAACCACTCAACGTAAGAAGCTCAATTTTGGCATACAGGTTGATTCTAGGGTGTTCGATAAGAAGGGATTTTTCGAAATTCCAGTTCCAAGAGGGTGAAACCACCCCTCAAATATTACAATTTTTTTTATTTAAAAAACGGTCAAGTTTCCGAAAAAACGCTTAAACGCGTTAATTTTATTTTGTTTTTTTACATATTTTAAGATTTTTTAAAAATGTATACAGGGTGTTTCGAAAAATCTGGTCATTGATTAATCACGATCCTGCTTAAAGCGCTTGACGTAAAAAGCTGATTTTTGGAAAACAGATTGACTTTAAGGTGTAGAGGTTCGATAAGAAGGGATTTTTCAAAACTCAAATTCTAAAGGGGTGAAACTATCCCTCAAATATTAAAATATTCTTTATTTAAAAACCGGTGAGTTTTTCGGAAAAACTCTTAAACACGTATATTTTGTTTTGTTGTTTCATATATTTTAAGATTTTTTATAAATTTATACAGGGTGTTTCATAAAATATGACCAATGAGTAATTACGATTCTGCTTAAACTGCTTGACGTTTAAAGCTGATTTTTGGCAAATGGATTGACTGTGGGATTTATAGTGTAAAAGTTCTATAAGAAGGGGTTTCTCGAATCTCAAATTCCAAGAGGATGAAAACGTCCCTCAAATATTACAATAATTGTTATTTAAAAAACGGTTAGTCTTTCGGGAAAACGATTAGACAAGCATAATTTATTTGTTTTTTTTACATATTTTGAAATTTTTTAAAAAATCATACAGGGTGTTTGTAAGTTGGGTAAGTTCTTAACCACGATTCTGCTTAAACTGCTTGACGTAAAAAGCTTATTTTTGGCAAACGGATTTTTCGAAAGTCAAATTCCAACGAGATGAAACTACCCCTCAAATATTATCAAGTTATATAATAATATCGCCATATTGTTTTTCCTCATGCTGACATAAATGTGAGAAAATTTTATCCAGTTTGTATGTTAATGGAAATTCTTGCTTTGCTTTATTATCACCATTACAAATGATTAATTCGATGCGAACGAAGTCGCTGGTACACGCTAGTAATAGTATATTCTCTTTCCTTAACCTGTTCTATCTTTCAATGTTTGAAAATCGATAAGTGTAAAAAGCAGAAAAAAAAGATTGTTTTTGGCATGAGGGGAAACTCAACACTAACTCCCACGACCTGTTTCTGGACAAAACGATCAGTAGAGGAAGGGTTTCTATGGTGGCGCCATCACACTTGCAGCGGATTTTTGTTCTGTCGTATTTAAATTTAAACATCTAGTACTCAAGCGGGATATTTTAATGCCTCACACCTATGTTTTACTTATATATCTTCGTTAGAGTTACATCAGGTTATTTCCGCCACATTTGCATCTGCATAGGAGATCTTTCCGTGTGACACTGCTGGCCAATCTATTATCAAATTCATTATTTTGCCCGATTTCGCACTGCTAACATCGACTCTGTAACTTTTTATTAAATAAATTTGTTTTTTAACAAGGCTTTCCTTTATTAACATAATTAGCGCAGTCGGTAGCATACGTGCAGCGGCATTTCTGTATTCGAGTATCTTTTCGGGCCAGTTTTGTGGTTTTTGCTCTTAAACACGTATCGAAGAAGAACCTCGACGGGGGGCAGAGTTACAGCACCTACAACAGGACGCAAAAGAAGGGAGAAGAAAGCAACACGACAGCATATAACTGTAAGTCCCTTTTCCTTTTTGCCTCTTCCAAACCTCTGGTTAAGGTTTTTCGGTAGGGATAGTTAGGGCTTTACATTGCTCATTTATTTTCCAACTCATTGGAACTATTTAATATAAGAAAAATTAAATGATTTTTTCAAACGTTACAAAAGTATTAATTTTTGCGACGTGATTGACAATATAAAAAAGTCATTAAGGCCTAGGCATAAAAGTAAGAAATAGCTATTTATACGGGACGCAAAATTGTCAATGACACTTGACATTGCGTCGAGTGCTTAAAACACTCTTTTCGCAATGAATTTCATACAAGATTTTTTGTGAAAACGGATAATTTGAGATTTTCATGCTGTTAATATTATTTATTGTTAAACATTTTTTAAAATGTTCTAGTAATCGGTTTCTAAGGCATTGTTTAATTCAAAGTTCTGTGAGGTTCAAACGTCGCCCTATTTCCTACAAAAGTTTTGTGAAAAAATGAGTGATAATGATCGAGTCTTTGGATATTCAACAAGCTGCTGAAACTGCGCTATTCACGTTAGTGCCCGAGAAGTCGAAAAACTTATACGAGACCACCTACAACAACTTTGAAACCTGAGTCAAAGAAAAACATGTTGCGAATTTCCTATTAGCCTATTTCCTGAAGTTATTCACTACCTTAAAACCGTCAACTCTGTGGAGTAAGTGTCACTTTTAGATACTAGTGCCTAAAATAACATTATTTCGAATCTCATATAAATATCAAAAACTGTCAATTTCGACACGCTTTCACAAAAATATATTATTAAACTGACATAAAGTGCCAATTTTAACGAGCTGTAACCATAGTTTCTCTATATATAATTACTTACATTACAAGACATTACTTTGAAATATATTTATATTATTTGCAATGTTTCAAATTGTTTAAAAAATTATTTGTGACGTTTGAAAAAATAGCTTGTTCTATTTGGAGTAAAAATTACTTCTTGTGCCTCGCCTGTAATGTCAAAAAAATGCAATGTCGCCTGTAATGTCAAACGTATAGCCTCGCCACAGAAAGTAGGTATCATTTTTATTACTAATAAAATAATATACTATTTCTCCAAAAAAATCCTTTATGGGTATTTTGCCACTGCACTGCAAAAAAAATCTACAAAATAAAATAGTTATTTTGTGTAAACACTTCTGCGTTAAACGTAAACGAACGCTGCTTGTCAGAAGTTATGTTTACAGTTATGCAAATTTGCCTAAGAAAAAAATGCTTAACGTTTCGGAAAGTTTATCTCTTTCCGTCGTCGGAAGCAAAAAAATACAAGGAATAAAGAAAAAAACTATTTAAAATATTTAAATTGAACTATTCGAGAACTCTTTACTTTTTAAAACAGATACGTCTAGAAGAAACCGTTGATGTTCTGTTAAAATGACATTATATCACGTTAAACTTCAAATAACAATTACTTAATAAGGGCTTTCTGTATGATTATTTTTAAATTTTACTATGTTATGTTTATTTATGTTATGTTCTTTAAAATCAAAGAAGCGATTGCCATACATTACTAACATTTATACAATGTTTTTTTTTCTCAGGTAAGATTTCGACAGACGGTGACAGAAAAAAAGGTAGATGACTTCCATACCAATCCATTTATTTCACTAAAAAAAGTTTCTAATATTTTTTAAGTTAACTATGGATGGGTTTATAAATAAATACGTCATGGGTCGTCTCTTGTTGTTTTTAACCAGTTTTATTGGTTTATTTCAAAAATGACAGATCATATTTCAATATTATTGGTTTGACGCAACGATGAACGACAAACGGACGCCTATGCGTATGAACTCGACTTAAGATTTTTGAGTGTTGTCAAACTCTTGCCAAATTATAGGCTATAATTTTGTGCGAAATTATGTCAAATAGAAATGATAAATATTTTGCATTTTGGATTGTGTTGTTACTTGTGTTTCGTTTTTTTTTAAATTATGAGGAGGAAAACTCGAGGATAAATTAAGTGTTGACCCCATAGAGGTTAAAATAAGTTGACCCAGACCATAGTTTACAGTTAATATTCGGTGCACAGAGACCGCCAGAGACTATGGCCAGAGAGTTGTATTAGCCACAAATAAAGTTATACCATCTCGTATATGGTACCAAAAACTGGAGTATCTGTAAAATATCATCACACGAT